GCGGCGAGCGGCTTATTGCCGCCGCCGCCGTTCTTCAAGTGCTCCCCGGTCCCACTCACCCACCAGGTGGTTGTCAGCAGTAGTCTGACCTCTGAGGTGGGACTTAGGAGACATGGCCAATGGAAGCTGGGGAAGCTTCTGACGGACAGCTCGACCCTCCAAACACTGTTGGTGTGCATTTTCTCTCCCCTGCATAACGCAGCCTTTGTGTTCTGAGGTGGAACTTAGGCGACACGGCCAATGGAAGCTGGGGAAGCTTCTGACAGACAGTTCAACCCTCCAAACACTGTTGGTGCGCATTATCTCTTCGCTGCGTGATGCTGCGTCTTACTCAATTATATATAAGGGAGAGATACGTGGGGTGGAGAGAGTTGACAAAGAGAACTTTCTCTCTCTCAAAATACTGGAACTCGTGGGCATCTAATGAAGTCAATGGGCAGTAGGTTCAGGACGGACAAAAGGAAATACTACTTTACACAGAGAGAGTGATGAACATGTGGAATTCACTGCCAGAGGATGTAATAATGGTCACAGGAATAAACAGCTTGAAAAGAGGATTAGATGGATTCATGGAGGATAAGTCTATCAGTGGCTACTAACTGAGGGGAACTTCCACATTCAGAGGCACTAATCCTCTGAATCCCAGAGTGAGGAGGCAACATCAGGGGGAGGCCTCAGCCTCTATGCCCTGTTGGTAGTTGCCCAGAGGAACTGGTTGGCCAGTGCGTGAGACAGGATGCTGGACTAGATGGATCGTTGGTCTGATCCAGCAGGGCTCTTCTTACGTTCATCTTGCCTGCCAGTTAAGATCTCTCAAGCCCTATACTTTGTACCTCCACCTTCAGAGGTAAGGCAGCTGGCAACTAGAGATGGGACATTTTCTTTGGTGGCACCTCACCTCTGGAATGCCTTTGCCCTTTAGGCTCACCTGGTGCCTACTTAGGGGCCAGACCCAGACATAACTTTTTACCAAGGGTTTTAATTAGGGGTTTTATCTTGCCAGCTTTCTAATGGGCTGCTTCTCTTGTTGCTGCTTTTTAATGCTTGTTTTTATGCTTGTTGCTGCTTGTTGTTATGCTGCTCACGTCCAACGGCTTGTGTTTTTAATGGCTTGTTTGGTTTTATGTGTTACTGATCAGCCCCATGGAGCAGAGCTCTGATTAGGTAGCACATAATTATCTTAAATCTATAAATACACAAATCACAGTGTCATAATAGATGTAGGCGAAGGGTTTGATTTGGTTTGGAGATGGACCACTTAGTGGCGAAATGGTTCCTTCTTTGCTTTGCAGAGATGCTTTGGTTCACGTGCCTGACGCAGTCTCAAAGCAGCCATGACGCACGTAGGAGTGAGGACAAAGGGGGAGATGGGTTATCAGGTTGACTTGAAATGGGGGTCTTGGATCCTGTGTTTTCCTTCCATTTGCGGGACACGATCCACCATGGAAGAGCACGTTCCTCTGGGGCTAGGCACCTGCTGATCATGCACCACGGTATAGACTACAAGCCTATTCTTGGCAGAGACAGGGCTTTTCTCACTGCTTGGATCAGACTTCATGTCCCTCATGCTTCTCTCAGGCCACCCTGGAGGCATTCCTCCATTGCTGAGCTCACTTTCTCTGCCAGTAGCACTTCTGCACACTTCAGGGCTTCTTGAAAAACAATGGGGAATTTCACATTACCCAGTTTCATCCGGTTTCAAGCCGGTAATCATCCATTTTGAAGTGAACCGGTACAGGGCTGCCATTTCACACATGGCTTGCCCCTACCAGAATGAGCCGGATCATAAGCGGTTTGGCATTTCAGACTGCACCGCTTTTTCGCTGCAGGCAATCTGCGGCTTTTTTTTTTTGAACGTTCACTTTATAGCGCTATAGCACTATAACGAAACACTCCAGGCATTCCAATGGGGCTGACACAATGCTATTCCGTTATAGCGCTATAGCACTATAAATTGAATGTTAAAAAAGCCTGCGCGGGTGAAAAACGGCAGGGAAAAAGCGTAACAGAATCGGGAGAGGGTTCAAGGGAACTCAAGAGAACATTAACAGAAATTCAAGGGAACATTACTAATATACTAACAGAGAATTATATGTGACTGAACTAAGAAAAGAAGTTTGACAACACACAGAAGAAGCCCAAGAAGATTAATTGGACATTACTAACAGTTTAATTTACCAGTTTATATATCACTCAGCTTTCTCTTTCTCCCGCTGTCTACCCTTCCCATTTTTTTCTTTTAAGCGAAATACCTCCCCTTTTTAGGGGAGCTAATAAAATCTTTACAAAAAAAAAAAAGAATCGGGAGAGGGAACTGAAGACTACTCGGACGCGGTTGACAGGAAAAACGCTTCAGTCCCGGTTCCTAAACGGGACAGAAACTTTTGTGTATGAAATGGCAAATACATTCCGGTAGGAAACCGATTCTCAAACGGGTTCTGTCTGAAATGACAGACCAGAACCCATTTGAGAACCGGTTCCCTACCGGGAGATATCGCCTGTCTGAAATTCCTCAATAATCTTGCTTGCAGCAGCAGAGGAAGCAAATGCCACAACAGAGGAAATCTTCCACAGTAGGCAGAGACAAGCGCGAGGGGAATGATGACATAGATACGTCACTTCCAGTTACAACCCGGAAGTGACAATCGGTAGCTGTAGGAATTACCAGAAGCTCTATGGTAAAACCATAGAGTCTGCAGGAATTCCTAGAGCTACCCTTTGTCACTTCTGAGTTGTACCTGGAGTGACATGATGATGTTGCCGATGTCGCCCCTCCACATCCCTGCCCCCAGCCTTGGTGTTCTAGGCATCTACAACTTGAATCCTACAACAACTTGAATTCAAAATGAAGACCTGAATTTGCATTCCATGGCTTGTCTGGCCCTCATAGTCTCAGCCAAACCAGGAGGCTTACCCTTGCCAGGGAAGAAGATATGGCTGGGTTGAGCTTTCCAGGCCTTCGGATGTCTCACCCTAGTATATATCCCAGTATATTTCTAAAGCGCCAATGTAATGTGAAGTGCTAATCATAAGCAACAGCCTAATTTTCTCTGTTTTCCATTTGTGCATATTTTAGGGCTTTTTTATCTTGCTGTTCGGGACTCTTCTGGACAGGAAGGTATTGGACTCTTTGCTATGTTTTCCTTAGAGCGCACAAATTTGCCCGTGCAGATTTGATAAAGAATGACCTATCTTGCATTTCTCTCTCCCTGTTCCCCATCCTGGTAGACAAGAGAAAGTTTACAGATGAAATGCTTTCCCTCAAAGGTAAGCCGTTCTTACAGTTGGAATTTCTATTCTCACCTGCACTTTTTAAAGTATCGAGACAACTACAGAGCTGTGGAGACTGCAGTACTGCCAACATCAGCTCCTAGGCTTGCCAGGCAGTGCTAGCAACTGAGGGGAGGGTAAGCAGTTTCACGTGCTTACCAGCAATGTTCCCTCTAAGCTGTGGAGTCGTGTGAGCAAAAATTCTACTTTGTGAGCTACTGGCACTAAAGTTGTGAGCGAACACTTTGGCTCCTGCATAAATTAGTTATGTCATAGTTGTTCTCAGGGGTCGTTTCGTAGACAAAGAGCTAGGGGAACTCATTAGCATAACTCATTAGCATATGCCACACCCCCTGACATCACCGGAAGTGTGTCATAAGGCCACACCCCCTGACATCACCGGAAGTGTGTCATAAGGCCACACACACCGCCCCCAACGGTCCCGGCTGCCGACGGCCTTGCAGCTCCACTGCCGAGCCCCATGAGGGGCCTGGCGGTGGACCTGCAAGGCCGGTGGGAGTGCAAGGAAGCCCCGCGAAGGCCCTCCCTGGCCCCAGGCAGGCAGGGGGGGGGAGAGGCAGGGAGGGAGCAACTTACCCTCCCTCTTTTCCTGCCTCCTCCTGGCTGAATGAGGGCCAGAAGTGGGGCGGCCGGAAGCATGGGGCAGGGCTTCGTCATGTGCCCCGCCCCCTGTACCTCACCCAGGGGAACTGAGATCCCCCGCGATCCCCCCGAAATGACCTCTGTGCAAAAAGGTATCGGCTGGATATTAGGAAACACTTTTTCACAGTCAGAGTGGTTCAAAGGTGGAATCAGCTGCCTCGGGAGGTGGTGAGCTCCCCTTCACTGACAGCTTTCAAGAAGAGGCTGGACAGATATTTGTCAGAGATGCTTTCGGCCGGTCCTGCATTGGGCAGGGGGGTTGGACTAGATGGTCTGTAGGGTCCCTTCTGACAATGATTCTATGAATAGCTGGAAACTCTGTGGTAAAACCATAGAGTTTCCAGCAGTTCCTAGAGCTACTCCATGTCACTCCTGGTAAGTATATGAGGCTTCATTTTAAAAAAAACAACAAAAAGAATTTCTCACATCACCACTGCAAGTGGTGGTCCGCAATGGGACACAGGGACAAGGCATCACCTGTCCCCACTTGGAGCTTGGCAATAAGTAATAATAGAAGGATAAAATCAATCGTTCATCTTGACAAGAAGCCCCTGATACGCCAAAGCTGTACCAGATGCTGTATCAGATGCTGGGAAGTCATGAGCATATCATGAGATGGGGTCATGAATTCAATCCCTAGTGTACCAGGAGCTGACTGGGCCTAAGATAGTGTTGCCATTTTGGGTTGGGAAATACATGGAGATTTGGGGGGGGTGAGCCCTGGGGAGGGCGGGGTTTAGGGAGGGGAGGGGCACCCGTGGGGTATAATTCCATAGAGTCCATCCTAAAAAACAGCCATTTTCTCCAGGGGAACGGATCTCAGTAGTCTGGAGATGAGCTGTAATTCTGGGAGATCTTCATGCCAGGCCGAGCGTTGGGCAACCCTAGCCTACGCCCTTGATTCAGAGGATCCATTCCCATGACACTTGTGTAAATCACTGAGTTCCAGATGAGTTTACTTTTACTGCAGATATACGTATTTCCCACTTTAATGAAGTTTCTTGGTGTAAAATATTAACCATTGGGGCTTGTTCCAACAGTTCAAAAGACTATCATAACAAATCTAGCAAAGCCAATCTAGTTGGTTTATTTCCAAAGTAAAGAAAGCAGGTATGTTAAATAACTTTGATTGAATAGCTCAGATCCAAATTTAATTCAGGATGAATAAACCAGCCACAGATTCTTCTAGGTTTTTTTTTTTTTTTTTGGTATAGACAGACTGTTATGCAACAAAAATTATCGATATTTCAGGTTGTTACTGATGAGACACTTCCAGAGTCTATCCCCTCTGTCCATTTAATCCATAGACAGCGTTTTAGGGACAAAAATCAGAAAATTCACTTTGTTTTGATTTCTTTGGAAAACCCTGATTCCCGCTTTATATATAAAAGCCAGCATTTCAACAAAAGAAATCTTTACCTATATAGTACGTCTAAAATGGGCTTGCCTTTTCGTCTGAAAATGGCCAGGTTAATGGTTGCCAGGTTTGCCTGGTCTTGGAAACCAGTGGGGGATGGGAGGGGCCTACCAGAAGCAGGAGGGAGGGCCAGGTGACATCGCTGGTGATGTGGCTACATCACTTCCGGTATGCACCAGAAGCGACATCATGATGTTGTGGTGACGCTCTGTTATTTGGGCAAAAACTCTATGGTAAAAATGGCCTCTACCATAAAGTCTTTGCCCAAATACCAGAGTGTTGCTTCAACAACATCACCAATGTGATGACATCGCCACATCATCAGCCTGGTCCTCCCTCCCTCTCCTGGTAAGTCCCCCTACCACCCAGCCAATCCCCCCTAAACAAATAAGGTTTACTGAACGGTGAGGGAAACAATAGGTTCAGACTGGGACCTTTAGCAAACAGTATGAATAAAAATTATAAATGAGCAGTCCCAAACTTAGGGTGAAAAGGGAGGAAAGTCTCTAGCCACTTTTCCTCACAGTCACTGAGAAGCCAGACTTTCTCAGGATCAAAGGTTCACTCCAAAAGATGGCCACTCTTCTACCAACTGCCTTTCTCCATCTTCACAGTCTTTTTCTCCTCAGGAGCTGCGTCTTCAAAAATTCTCCACAACTTCAGAGAGAAAAATACCTCAGCTTCCCCCCTCTTGGCATTCAGAGAATCATAGAGTTGGAAGGAACCCTCAGGGTCATCTAGTCCAACCCCCTGCACAATGCAGGAAATTCACAAATACCTCCCCCCCCCACACCCCCAGTGTTCCATGCCCAGAAGATGACAAAAAACCTCCAGGATCCCTGGCCAAAGCGACCTGGAGAAAAACTGCTTCCTGACCCCAAAGTGGCAATCAGCATTTCCCTGGGCATGTAAGAAAGGGCCACGAGAACTAAGGACTGAGGCAACCCTTCCTTCCCTCCCTTCTCACAATCTGCCTAAGTTCACAGGATCAGCATTGCTGTCAGGTGGCCATCCAGCCTCTGTTTGAAAACCTCCAAAGAAGGAGAGCCCACCACCTCCCGAGGAAGCCTGTTCCACCGAGGAACTGCTCTAACTGCCAGGAAGTTCTTCCTAACGCTTAGCCGAAAACTCCTTTGATTAAATTTCAACCCCGTTGGTTCTGGTCCGACCTTCTGAGGCAACAGAAAACAACTCTGCACCATCCTCTATAGGTTTACCCTCTCCTTCTCTTGCCCTGCTGCCAGCCAACCACTCACCCAGCCTCTCTGTAGGAAGCGCCTCCCCCTAGAGGGCAGTATTTCCACACTAGGGCCCACGGTGCAGGTGAAAACCAAGAACAAACTTTTGATTTGATTGACTGATTTGATTTCTGGTAAGTTCTTTAGTGCTTTTTATTTCAGGCCGCCTTGTTTTAATAGCCTCCCCCCCCCCCTTCATCTGCTACTCAAAATTCGTTTATTTTCTTATGGGGGAAAGTTCCCTCCCCCCCCCCGCTTCAAAGGGGAGGCTTTTGACTAATTTTCAGGCGTTTTGCTTAGACTTTGACTCACATTTCAATAATACAGCCGTTTTGGATCACAATTCGCTCGGCCACCAAAGGCTTGTCCCGGTGTGCTTTCTTTGTTCCTTTCATGGGTGCTCCATGGCAGGACCTTTGGGGCATGGAAGAGCCCCCTTCGCCGGCCAGTCACTGGAGGAAGAGCTCTCCTAGCGCCCCATGGCTGGGAGCCCATTGCAAGGGCTCTGGAGGTGGTGTGGACAGTCGCACCCCCTCCCAGCTGCAGGCGTGCATCTCCCGGAGCTGCGGGAGAATGCGGCCACCATAGCGGACACCAAAACTGGAAGTCGACTGATTTGAGTTCTATCTGGCCCTCCTCACAAGCGGGCTCAGGGCAGGATACAGCATAAAACATAAGCAATACCAGCTTAAAAATATTAAAACATCGTACTAAAACCATGAAAACACAGTACAAGATCGCGTTTTTCAAATTTCCTAATATCCTAGTTCTGTGCGAGGTAAAAAATATAGATCTGAATTGTGGGTTTCCGTGCTGTAAGAAACAGCTCAGTCCAGCAATATGAACAGCTTGATCCAGCAATATGAGCAGGATTTTAAATAATAACTAAATATTTTTACAAGGCTTACAAAAGGATGGTGGTTTCACCCATTTTTCTTCACCATTTCAGACTTCATCTGATACGACACTGTGATCACCGAAAGACTCAATGAACTCTGAGCCCAAAAGTGAGTGTAAGCAAAGTAACCACTTGCTGTGTGTCTGTGTAGTCCCATTTTAAGACAGAGCATATCTGCTCCTGTTCATCCAGGATTTCAGCAAGAGGCTGATGTTTTAACGCCATTGTTAAACTGTTGTTTTAAGCTATTCAGTTATCTGTGGTTTTTTGCTCTGAATGGGGTTTTAAACTCTGGATTTTAATTAAAACTAATCGATAACTTAATAGAGTTAGATTACCTGACACGCAATGACACACTGAAAGAAGTTGTGCAGTTAAAGCAATATTATAGTCTATTAGCTCATTTTTGAACCTGTCAATATTATCAGATCAATTATTTTTGCAATGTTTTTCTTCCCTTTGTTCAATTCTTGGTAATTGTTGATTTCTAGGTTTACTCATAGAATGTATGATACATGTTTGACGTATGCTTGTTACGGTAAAATAAAAAATTTACGTTAAAAAATAAATAAATTAGAGAGGAGACTGGATTTATACCCCACTCTTCACTACCCAAAAGAATCTCAGAGCAGCTTAAAATCTCCTTTCCCTTCTCCTCCCCTCCCCACAATGAACACCCTGTGGGGTAAGAGGGGCTGAGAGAGCTATCCCGAGAACTGTCCTTGAGAGCTCTGAAAGAGCTTATGACTGACCCAGGGTCACACCAGCAGCTGTATGTGGAGGAGTGGGTAATCAAACCTGGTTCTCCCAGATTAGAATCCGTGCTTGTAACCACTACATCAAATTTAATTGAGTCGATTACTTGGTTTCGGAGGACTTCTTACCTTCTACCTGGCAGCAATTTCAGAGGTGGGTGTAGGCGTTCCTGGTGGACTCCCTTCCTGGTAATAGAGTTTTACTCACTTTTCCTCTATATAACACAAGATAAGTTTGGAAAGTCACAAAGATGTCATCAGAGGGTGATACTGTTTAATTGTTTGAATTACATTGAGATATAATTAAATACCAGATCTCAGTATCTTATTCAATATGTTCTATGTTTTATCATCATTGATTATTTGTATCTCCTTTTTACTTGAATGTATTGTATTTTCCACAGTTTTTGATGCTGTATGTTCGGAATTTGACTTGTTGATATTGTTCACATGTTTGACTTAATCATATATTGATCTTTGATATCAATAAAAAGGAAAACTCTAAATTAAAAAAAAAATTAATAGAGTCCCCCTTCCAAAGGAGCCATTTTCTCCAGGTGAACTGATCTCTGTTGCCTAGAAATTAGTAGTAATCCCAGAAGGTCTCCAGCTGTCACATGAAAGTTGGCAACTCTAGTTCCAGATGTTTCATCACTCTGGCCTTCTTTTTCTTCTTCTCTCTGCAGTGCTTTCCTGTGAAGGAACGGACAAGCACTGTGATGCACAAAGCCAATGTGCCTCTCTGTTTTCATTGTAATGCCGCCTCTTCTCTTGCTGCCTCAGCCTACCCACCTGGTCAGCAGAGAGAAGCAGAGTGGATGAGGACATGAAGTGAAACGGGGGGACACCAGTGGTGGAAGCGGTAGACCGCATCATCTGAAGGAGGTGCCATGGCAAATCCCGTTGAGCATGAATGGAGGGAGTGGCGGAACTAGTGTGAAGGTGGCGGAACTAATTGGAATCAAGCTGAGGTTACCCAAGGAGAATGAAACAACGGTGCTCTTAGAAGCTTTCACACTGGTGAGGTGTGTTCGTCTAGTCTTAGCACAAGGCCGATTCAAGGTTGTTGTTGTTCAGTGGCACAGTCGAGTCCGACTCTTCGCGACCCCATGGACCAGCTCCCGCCAGGCCCTCCTGTCTTCCGCCGTCCTCTGAAGTTGGCTCAATTTCATGTTCGTTGCATCGATGACACTGTCTGACCATCTCATCCTTTGCCATCCCCGTCTTCTTTGACCTTCAATCTTTCCCAGCATCAGGGTCTTCTCCAGTGAGTGCTCCCTTCTCATTTGGTGGCCAAATGAGAATAGATTCAAGGTACTTTCGTCAAATATTTTGGCTTCCAGGCCAAGCTCCTGGGGCATTTTGCGGAGACCTAGCTCAGACCTGGCTACTTCTGGTGGGGCAGACCCAGCAGTCGTCTCCACTGCTGCGGATGGCCAAGCCACTGGGGTGCCTGGGTGGTTTGACCAGAGGACCGGCCTTGCCTTAGTATTGCTGCTAAGAGTTATGGCGGTTGTTAACCTTTAAGGCCCCGTGCAGCCATGGACCAACATATCTGTGGGACCGTCTCTCCCCATATGTGCCCTGGAGAGCTTTACGCTTGGCAGAGCAATGACTGGAAGTCCCCACCCCAAAAGTTGCCTACCTGGCCTCGGCCAGGGCCAGGGCTTTTTCCATTCTGTCCCCAGTCTGCGTCACGGGCTGGGTTGCCAGTCAAAGGGAGTCCAGAACAGGCCAAAGGCAGGAGCCAAGAAGACAGTGCAAAGTCAAAAAAGCCAAGCTGGGGTCAGGAGCCAGGAACACAGAGCCAAGTCCAAAGCCAGCTGTGGTTCCTGCAGGCTCTGTCAGCTCATCCTCATCCATGCCCATGACAGTCTGGCGGAACATGCTCCCAATTGAGAATTTTCGTGATTTATTACAATGCCGCGGGGCCCGTAAAATGGAGCTGTTCCACCAGGCTTTCGGCTAGCTGGCAGGTGCAGGCCCGTATGCACGGGGGTGCCGATGAGTGCCCGGCAGACTCACCAGACAGCTTTTCCTCCCCCCTTCTCTCTCTCTCTGTGAAGCACCTGTGCTCAGCTTGCTGCCAGTGCAATTGTGATGCCCAAGTTGCTTTGGGAGGTGCAAGATGAAGTCCCTGTCTTTGTTTCTCCTCTCAGATTGCCTGCAAGGGCACGGGGGGTTGTAGGAAGGGGACGCAAGGAGAATAGCCCATTGGCACCAGGGGTTAAGTGGCTGCTCAGGGGGTTATTGTCTTGCTGCTGCTGCTGCTGCTGCTAGCGAGCCAACAGAACCAGGTTGTATCTGTTCAAACTTTGAGGGGCTCTCCCCCAGCTCCTTCAACAATGCTTGCCAGACATCTCGGATCTTCTGGGGGCGGGGTAGGCTTTGATCCCAGAGCAATGTGCAGCACTTCACAGAGAATACAGGTCCTTTCTGCACTTGGATCTCATCCCTGGTTTTATCAGAGTTCAACTCAGGACACAATACCTTGCCTTTATCCCTGGTTATAACAGCATCCGTCTATCCCGGGACAAGTGTGGGGTGAAATCGGGGTGACCTCAATGTAATGTGGAAACAAAAAAATACCCTGAGATAATTAGAGGGGTGAACTCATGTGTAGTGTAGAATGTCAGTTCGGGGACAGGGTTGAACCAGGATTTAAGGTCTAGTGCGGAAAGAACCACAGACACACATCCTGTCCCTTCTTTATTATTTCCGAACTCCCTCAGGTGCTCCCCCCATTTTTACCTGTCATCTCTTACCTAGAGGAGGAGGAGGAGAGGAGATTGGATTTATACCCCGCCCTTCGCAACCCAAAGGTGTCTCAGAGTGGTTTACAAACTCCTTTCCCTTCCCCTCCCCACAACAGACACCCTGTGAGGTGGGTGGGGCTGAGAGAGCTCTGACAGAAACTGCTCTTTTTCAAGAACAGCTCTTATCAGAACTACGGCTTGCCCAAGGTCATCCAGCCAGGTGCAAGTGGAGGAGTTGGGAATCCAACCCGGATCTCCCAGATTAGAGTCCGCACACTTAACCACTACACCAAACTAGCCATGTCTCTCCTTTTTATTTCCCTAACAACAACAACCCTGTGATGTAGTCAACTCCACTGTACTAAACTGCCCCCTTGGGGCCCCCCTAACTAAATTTTTCTGGTTACGGGACTGGGCGGGCATCCATTCATTTAGGCCCCTCCCGACCAAACGTCTCTCAGATCAAATCGCCTTATGGTATAGATGGCAGAGGTCACCATCAAGTACAACGGGACTGTCTGTTGCATTTCTGCCTACCTGATCTTCAACGCAAGCCGTACAATCATCCGTCGCTGGGCTACCATCTGCCTTTACTCGGTATTCTTATCGTTACGGTTTTAACAGGTTGTGTTATTGTTTATATCTCTGTTTGTGGACACCCCCCCCCCAATATAATAAAATATAAAGTTTGTGCTGAAATATAAGCAAGGTTCTCAAGTATTTGGAAAAATATAATAAAATATAAAGTTTGTGCTGAAATATAAGCAAGGTTCTCAAGTATTTGGGTTTTGGGCATGTGTCTGCTCAGCGGCAATAAACTTTTCTGTATAAAGTCTCTTCGAGTCCACGGATAGTGAACCCATGAAGCCACCTTATACCGAATCAGCCCATCAAGGTCAGTATTTTTGACTCTGACTGGCAGCGGCTTTCCAGGGTCTCAGGTAGAAGTCCTTCACATCACCTCCCGCATGGTCTTTTTTCATTGGAGATGCTGGGGATTGAACCTGTGACCTTCTGCTTGCCGAACAGACGTTCTACCACTGAGCCATGACCTCTCCCCACAAGAAGCTGACCTTATACTGACTCAGATCTTTGGTGTTTTAAGGTCAGTCTTGTCTACCCAGACTGGCAGAAGCTCTCCAGATTCTTGGGCGGAGGTCTTTCACATCATCTCAAACCTGATCTCCTTTTTTAACGTGAGATGCTGGGCATTGAACCTGGGACCTTCATGCCAAGTAGACACTCTACGACTGAGCCGCAGCCCCTCCCCATCTATATACACTCCGTGTTTGAGAGAGTTGGTCGTATTTCTGTATTAATATTATTAATTTTAGCAAATGTCACTGTAGATAGTAATGGAATGATGGGCTCATCACATGAATAGGCGCCTGCTCGTAAATTCTTGTGCTTATCCTGATACAAACGCCGTTGTCTTTAAGCACGTACTCGTTCCATAATTCATAATGAGATGTCTTTTCAAGCAGATGTCCTCCTTTGGCCCTTGTGCTGAAGGAACTCTTCAGCTCAAGCAGCTGATGCTGTGTGCTCAGGCGTTTATCCCCTTTTTTCCGTCTTGGACTCTGGACGCGAAACCGTCCTTCTTTCCTGATAGTCAAAATGAGCTTGAGTCCCCCCCCCCCAAACGGGGAAGGAGTCTGAAGAAAACACAATGTTCCTCTTGAGTGAGCCAGCTGACCAGCTCT